CACACATACATACACACACATATATGTATATATATATTACACCCACATATATGTATATACACCCACATCCACACCTACATCCACACACATATTCACACCCACATCCACACCTACATCCACACACATATTCACACCTACATCCACACACATACTCACACCCACATCCACACATACACCCACATATACACTACATACACACACATACACACAATCACGGGAAAAACAGAATACGTGGGATTGTGTGTTTTCCTTCTGTTTTATTATTTTGCTTTTTAAAACTCTGTGTTTGATTATCCGAGACTGTTACCGAATCAATAACATTCTCCCTGATATCCACAGTGTTATAATAAATGGGCAGTTCTTAACTATTTGGTTATAGGGTCTCCATATGCTGGCTTATTTAATAATCTGATTTCAGACTGCTTTCTCAAAACTGAATTCACATTACAAGTATCTGTTATTTTTCTGTTTTCCAAATTTAACAAAGAGCCTTATGGTACCATTTCATTTCCAGGCATATCTTGTGTTCCACTTTGATGAATCTTATTGTTCTGCTAAGAGATCTATTTGAGCCGCCAGATGGGAATGTTGAAGCTCCCTAAGCATCTCCATATTTCACGCAGTCTATCTGTGAGAACAAGCCTAGTGGGCTCCAGGTCCCATCAGTTGGCACCTGGGGTCCTCCCGTCTCAGTTCCTGTCATGGAGAAACTCAGGATCCTCGCGGCTGTACCATCTCCCTCCTTCTGATTTCCCAGGAAAATTCTGCATGCCTTCAAATGGGCTCATAGGAGAATCCTGACCTAAGCGCCCCTGCATTCATGGGAGCCATTGTCCATTCATGGAGAAGGACGGGCAGGATTCCGAGGTAATATTCCCTACAGATAAACTTCAAAAGCAAAGCCTCAGGCCGCACAAGGCTTTTAGACAAGATGAAAGGCAGCAGCGACTGAACCACAGCGAAGAGACACAACCCACAGGGCTGCCCTCTGGGAACCTGAACTTGAGGACAGGAGACTCCTAAGTCTGCAGAGCCCAGCAGGCAGGGCTATCACATAGCTCTTCACAAGGACTGCACCTCAGACCTCTCCAGCATCAGCTCCAGTCCTGAGCCTCCAGCAGCTCTGTTCACCTGCTCAGGCAGCAGATTGATGTTTGTGATTTAACCCACTGCTATGGAGTCCATCCAGGTAACAGCAAATCTACAGGTCAGAGCAGAGCTGCTCCTCAGGATTCCTGAGACTGCAAAGATGTCCACAGCCTCACCTTTCAGCCCCGCAGCAGGTGACCTTGCAGTCCACTGTGCCACAGAGCTCCTTGTTAGTGATGCATTTGTCAGTTGGCTTGCTTCCTTGTTTTTCCAGGTTGCTGGTAAATTCTTTTGCCTGGATTTAAATATACACTTTTGCCTTGTAGAAGACTGGAGGGGGTCAGGGAGTGGGGGATGGAGTGAGGAGGAAAACACAAAATCTGGTTGGTCTTGGGATAAGACCTCTTTCCTCATGTTTACAAAGGCTGTGGGCTAGTCTACTGAAAAAGAAGCATTTATCAAGAAGATAGACACTCATCTGTCAGTGTGTCGTACTGTGGTGGCTTGTGAGTTGCTATGATTCTGGAAGCTATGCCACCGGTATTTTAAATACCATGGCATAAAGGTTTCAACTGAGCAACAAGACAAAGACAGGCTAAGAAGGACAGACAGGTTACTTTCGAATATTTAGTCACCTTATGAATAGCAGTGGAACACTGTCAGCACCAGAATATTGAATATTGAGACATTATATTGTCAGATATAGTGCCGGAAGATGAGCCCCTCAAGTTGGAAGGTATTCAAAACATGACTGGGGAAGAGCTGCCTCCTGAAAACAGAGGTGACCATGATGATCCGAATGGAGTAAAGCCCTCGGGACCTTCATTTGATGATGGGGCACAACTCAAAATGAAGAGAAACAGCTGTAAACATCCGTTAATAATAGGAACATGGAATGTACAAAGTATGAATCCAGGAAAATTGGAAGTTGTCAAAAATGAAATGGAACGCATAAACATTGATATTCTAGGCATTGGTGATGGTGGTGTGCTGTGGAGTCAGTTCCGACTCATAGTGACCATGTAGAGGGGTTCCGAGGCTACAAATCTTTACGAGAGCAGAAAGCCTCATCTTTCTCCCACGGAACAGTTGGTAGTTTCAAACCGCTGACCTTGAGGTTCGCAGCCCAATTTGTAACAATTATGCTACCAGAGCTCCTTATCCAGTGATAATCACACGGCTTACTAGTCTGGGAATAACAAAATGAAAGGGAATGACATCACACTCATCATGAGAAAGACACTTTAAGATCTGTCTTGAAGCACAACGCAGTCTATAACAGAATAATATCCATACACCTATAAGGAATATCAGTTAATACAACTATTATTCAGACTTACACACCAACCACCAAAGTCAATGATGTTGAAATTGAAGCATTCTACCAACTTCTGATCCAACATGCAATCAAAATGTATTGATAATTACTGGTGATTGGAATGCAAAGATTGGGGAAAAAATGGGAAAACATGGCCTTGATGATAGAACTGATGCTGGAGGTCACATAACAGAATTTTGCGAGACCAATAACTTCACTGAAAATACCATTTTAAAACAATATAAAAGACATCTATACGGAGAGTGAAGTGTTCAGCTGATGAGAAGTAAGGGGCACAAGAACACCCACACTTGCAGATAATACCCACTTGACCTGGCATCAATGGCTGGATGATCAGAACTCAACTAGAAGAAGATAGAAGAGGAAAAAAAGAGTAATCTGATACAATTTGATGAACTTGACCTATACCTATGGATGCAGTAGCTCAAAAGAGGGAACAAATCTTTACAGCAAGGATCATTCCTACCCCCTCAGTACACAAGGTTGAGAGAGATAGGCAATTTAGACATTGGCTTCCCAAAATGGGGGGGAGGGGCCTAAAAAGCCAAGAAGTGACTGGCTTACAAGTTTTCAAGAGGAAGGCTAGATCCAGAGGGTGCGGAGGAAGGTAGAATCTCCACTGATTAGTATCCAATCTGTCTGGATGGGGCTGATGAAAGGAGATAGGGATAGGACTCTTGTGATACAATGGTGAATAACTGTTATCAGGACTGACTGTGAGGGTTGGAAATGTAAAGGTAGGTAGACGTTTTGTAGCAAAAGGAGAGGAGTGATTGACTTTGCAGTCCAGGAGTGGAGGTCCCTGGGACCATCAAGGGAGAAGAGCGGAGTGTGCGACCCTACCCAGAAGCAGTGATGCCAGAGATGGAGGCAGAGACATAGAGAGATGGAGCGGCCGGGTACTCTGGACTCAGGGAGGAAGAGGGGCTGTGTGCTGACGACCGAGGGGCAGGCTTACAGGGTGCACCCTTTGGTTGTTTGATGATGCATGGAGGGGATTGTA